CTCACCACCGCCTCCTTTAAGGCTACGGGGAAGGCACCCTCCCGTAGAGAAGCGTTTATAATTCCCTGGAGCCAGGCTCGTGTACCCTCCCGAGCCGCCAGTACCAGCCAGGAGGGGCACGGATCCAGTAAACATGTGGTTGCATTCAGCCTCCCCAGGATCCTGTCCACGTCCTCGGGAGCCACAGAGTCAAACTCCTTCCATATAATAGTCTCAAGACCTGCTCCCGTCTCCTCCCCCGGGGCCACCCAGTCGGAGTCCAAACCCTCTCGGATCCGAGCGACTTTGTCATACAGATATTGGGCAAAGTCCTCAGCCCTCCCCACCAGAGGGTCCCCCCCTCCCCTCAACTGAAGGAGAGAGCGGGTCACCCTGAAGAGGGTGGCTGGGCACTAAACTTTCATATTTTGTATGAATACAGCAGAATTGAGCATTTCTTAGGCTTGTCTGATTTGAACCTTTTTAAAACTAAACAATTTTTAGAACTCCAAGACTCTACCAAATTGAGCCAGGTACAAAAAGAATTAAAGGACATGATTTCTTTGACTACATTCAATATATAAAAAAATAAGTTTTCCAAATTAGAACTGCAAATAAATTTGGATGTGCATTCTACTCACCCAAATATTGCATTTCAGTGGTGTTTCTAATTAATTTCTGTATTGGAATTGAACAATTATAGGTTGAAAATGATCTACATTTAAAAATACTTATTTCACAGAACATTTCTGCCTCAGGAACTATATTTGTTTTATTACAAATTATAAAATAGTGTGATTGTAGAAAGACTACATGGTGGCATAGCATTATTTAGCCATTGATATTTCTTTCCTGGAAATGTATTTTTTAATACAGTATAAAAGTCATCCAGTTGCAAAGATCAAGTATCAGACATTCACTGTTGCTATTTTGGATTGACCAATCAAACCAAATGACCACTGCCATTCAGAATTGCAGGGGATGAACTGGATGAGTTTATAATTGTTCTTGATGACATGCAGTATGTTTTACTATTCAGTGTATATTATTACAGCTTACAACAGTGATTTACTCAGTGTAGGAATCTGGCCATTATCACTTGCTGTGATTCTTGTATACTGTTCTTTACAAACAATTATCTGTGTAAGAAACTGAAATCATCGCTAATAATAGATTTATTTTATGAACTCATCTTCCAATTTGAAATGCAGATTTATGAAGATAGTATTTAATGTAGAATTCAGACAATGTGTGCTGGTTTCATTTCTAGACTTCAGCAAGGTGTGTAGTAAGCATTGAAGAGCTATAAATATATGTGTTAAATCTTTTTCTTGAAGATTGAAAGGTGATTTGGAAATATTTATTGTTTGGTGAGATGAATTTCAGGAGAGTATTAAGAAACGTGCTGGCCAATAAGTGCTAATCTAAATTTTTAAAAGTTCCCAGAATAACTACAGGTAGTCCATAATTTTAACATTCTCATTAATAATGGCCTCAGAAAGGGTGATTTATGGCTTGTAAATGCTTTATAGCATTTCCAACCATCACAAAATGTCTCCCATTCCAACTTGTGATCTCAATCTGGGTGCTTGGTAACCTGTTTATAGTTACAACTGGTTGCCAGGCGCCCCACGACCATGTGTTAACCATTTGCCAGCTTCTCTGCCAGCTTCCCCAGAAATTCAAGAGGGGAGGTTGCAAGCTATGCCACCTGCCAAGAGGACTCCCTCTGGGGGCTGGTTGAAAGAGCACCCTGTTGAAGGATTTCAGCTCCATGCCTGAAATCCTTTGGCAGGAGCTCTTTCAACCAGCCCCTAGAGATGTGAGGGAGTGAAAATCCAAGCAGGATTTTTTTTATGCTCTTGAGTGGAGAGGCAGTACTAAGGTATGAAGAACAGGATGCCTCAGGTGAGGTGAGGTCCTGGAAAGCCCAGCCAGATTGTGAGAATATCTCCCCATTCAGGGGCTGAAAATTTTGCTTGGGTTTTGTGTCTAGTCTCCCAGAGTCTCCTCCAGCCCCGAGGCACCCTGCACTCTTTAATCTGGGACTTCACTTAATGACCCATGTAATCACTTAACATCTGCAACCAAGAGTTCCAAGGTTCCAGTCATTGAACGAAGCAGTCACATGATGTCTCACTTAATAACTTTACTTAATGACCAAGATTCCGGCCCCAATTGTGGTAATAGGTCGAGGACTACTGGTCCTTGGCTTCAGTGACTGAAATTCACACTTCTTCCATCTGATACAATCAAGAAAATAAGATGTTCTTGACTATTATAACATTTTCAATATTATGAAAAAGTATTGGGTAGAGAAAAGATTGAATATTCACAGCAGCTTTTGATTTATAAGTGCAGCATATATTCATTGGTTGTTAATAGTTTTTGAGATATGTTTGGTAGAAAAGTATTTGTGCTAAATGATGATACAATATGAAGGAGTAAATTGTTCATAGCATGCATATTATTAGGAATATACGACCTGAATATTTATGTAGTTTTCTCTTTTTAATGTACTTCTTAACTTATTTTCTCACTCATCTGAGAAAAATTACTTTTATGGCCCTTGAGGGCCACAAAATTATGGTTTTTAGCATAGCATATTCTGTACATGCTATCAGCAGTAAACACTGCCCCATGTATTTACTTGTCCTTTATTTATAACAGTTTGTACAGATGCTCTTTCATGTTTTTTCATCCATTCAGTTTGAATGCTTATATGGGCCTATGGTCTGTTACACTCCTCTGGTGAGGTGACACTGTCTCCCTGGCAGCTATTTCTGCAGTGGCACTCAGAGCCATGGCTGAGGTAAGTGAGCTTACTGCAAGCCATGGTACCAGTTTATGATTAAGATAGAGCGATTTAACACTAATTTCAGCCTGGATTGGGTTGAACAGCATGTTAAAGTTAACCTTGGTGTAGCTTAGTATTTGATGGAAACAAAACCATTTGGAAAAAGAAAAGTTTATAGAAGTCAAGCTCTGCTTGTACAATTGTTTAGAAATAGAAGGTAATTTTCTTAAGGAGATAGCAAGTATTACTTCAAGATGTATTTTAGCTTTTAATCCCCTAGGTAAATTTGTTTTCTACATCTATAAAGAATACTAAGAGTAATATGTACAATGTGTTCAAAAAGAAGATAATTACTTGCTCTGTTTTCATTAGATTGTCTGTACTGGAAGGGATAATTTTAATTATATGGTAAAAGTCTTACCTAATAAACATAATAACAAGGCCTCTGACTTTTCCATGGAATCTCAGAAGGACATAAAGCATTATTTTAGAGAATATCTCTGTCCTACAACTTCAAATGGGAGAATACAGAATAGAACATAGAATAACTGAGTTGGAAGGGATCTGAAGATCTTCTAGTCCATACAGGAGACCCTATAGGCTTTGCACTTTAGCTGCTGATCTATAGCAGTAATAGAAATATTGTGCCTTTTATAGAATTGCAAGTTTTAATCAAGTTATACAGTATATTTGTGGCTATATTAAAACTAGCAGTACTGTACAATATACAAAAATTATGCTAGTTAAAGCTGTTGTATAATCTCATAAAATAATTTGTACTGATGTGATGCTGTTTCAGTGTGTAGTTTTATTAGTTCAAATTAGAAATGATCAAATTCTGATCAGGAGCTTAGTTTATGGTATTTAGAATAGCATTTTAAAGCTATTTTATAATTTGAGTTGTACATAAACTGTACAACTATAAAGAACTGTAAAGCTGATGAAACTGTAGGGAAAATTACATATTCCTTGAGAAAAACTTGCAAACTTTTAAACAAGTGAGTTCCATTAAATATAACGCACTGGGGTTACAATGTTTGCAGTCTTACATTTAGTAAACCATTTTATGCCCCAAATTAACAATATGAATATCGTAAATGTTTAGAGGAAGTTTGGCCAAAATTGAAAGTTGAAATCTGTTGCTCAGATAGTTTGTTGACCATTAGATGATTTAAATACAGTAGAATTATGATACCAGTGGCAAAAATGCAGTGGCAAAAGCACATTGATTATTGATTAATTATATACCATCAAGTCAGTGTTGATCATAAAGATACTCTTAAGGACAGTCTGTTCCCAACCTGGTCCTGCAGATCTTACTCATCATCACTGTAATTTTAAATGCAAACACATATCATTGTTACATGCAATGTATACGTCCTAGCACTTTAAAACCAAGTAATAAGGTTTAGGATATTACGTTTTTCTCCTAGAACAGACATGTCAAACACAAGGCCCGGGGGCCGGATGCGGCCCGCGAAGTGGTTTCATGTGGCCTGCAAAGCCATCCTGGAAACAGTGAGGGAACGGCCCCAGCTGCCTTGGCCCTGGCCCAGGCCAGCCGGGAGCCAATGTACAATTTTGTGGTGGCCATCTATGCTGAAACGCATTCAGTCTTAGCTCCACAAGGTCGTCTGGAAACAGTGAGGAACTCATTTCATACAGATAGGAGACGCAACTCTTGAGATGGAACTTCTTGTATAATATGTTTGACATGAACAGTCACAGTTCAGTTTTAATAAGATTTGAGATGAAGACTATACAAATATGGTCTTTGCCTTGAGAAGACCATATATTAACATATGCTTTCTTCAGCATAATGCTACAGATTGTTTTTACTTGAAACATGGATGTGAATTATTTTAATTAGACAGTTTTTCAAAAATAACATAACTCTTAGTTCTGGTGATTGATGTTTAATTGCATTTTTCAGGGGAATAAAAGAAACGGCTTATAACAAAATGAGAAAACATCCACCAAACAGAAGAGGTATCAGCTTTGAAGTGGGAGCCCAGTTGGAAGCCCGAGACAGATTAAAAAACTGGTATTTCTTATTTCATGATAAAACCTGGATAACATTTTTTGTAATGCTGTCACATTGTGTTGCAAACAAGGAGTCAAACCAACAAGTGTTCCAATTTAGATCTCTTTGTGATTTAGCTATGTATTTAATTATTTAGCTTGTTTGGTTTTATTCCAGTAACATTTAAGGAAGTAATTTACCTGAACCTGCAGGCTGTATTCATGTGGAAAAACTTTTACATTATTTTGCTGATTTAATAATTAATAAAATGTCATAGTGACATTTGTCCAAGCTTTAATATAATATACTGACCAAAAATAGCTAAATTTATATTGGTATTTACAATAAATTATATAAAGAGAATATTTTTTTAAAAAATGGTTTGCTTTACATTTAATGACGCCTTGCAGTGAAAATCAGCAGTGGGCTTCAGTATTCAGTACTTCTCTTCCATGGCACATCTGGTTTAAGAGGCTTTGGGATTTAATAAAACGTAGATTTCAGGATATCTAAAGAGAAACTGATTTAAGCATTACATATACCAGGATTACTAATTGGAATTCTGGATTTGCACATTATACTAATCATGCAGCATGTGTAAATTGCTCCATTTACCTTTGCGTTTTTCTACAGTTGTTTACAGTTGCTTCGAGCCAATGTGAAGCACAAATTTTTTACAGAGGCTGCCTCGTACCATTTTGCAATCGGGTGCCACTCTTGCAATTGTTCAAAGGGCTCCTTTTCCAAATTGCATAGTTTGGAGAAGGAGCTTCCCAAATGATTGCAAGAGTGGCACTAGTTTCCATGCGCTGGTGTGCTTTGTAGTATCAAGGCCAGGCTCCCAGACCATGGCTTATTTTCACAGCCAATGGGCATTGTAGTAGCCAGTCTGGGTCTCCTGCACGCAGCAGACTTTCATGCACTGATGGACTCTTTAGTGGCCAGCCCGGGCTTCCCAAGTGTGGTGGGAGAGGGATTAGACCTAGGCTCCAAGATTCCGAGGCTTTGTGTACACTGCTAGTCCAGGTGGGCAGCTAAGATGGGAGGGAGAGAGATGGGTAAGGACAGCTGGAGTTCCCCTGTGTGATTGGTCATAAGAGCGGGCAGACTGCCAAATGCCTGAATTATTTCTTGGCCATCCAAAGGTTGTCCAGACAATTCTTGAGGTTTAGGTGCTTCTTAACTGCTGCAAACTTGGCTGATGTCGTTACCATGATATTTATGAAAAGGTTAATTGTAAAACATTCAAGGCCTGTTGAGCAAAAGCACGAATAACAATCACTGTTGCCTCAGTGTTTGTATTTGTATTTTGTATGTTTTGCCACACCTGCTAGGATTTGAGCTGGAAAATGAAAAACAGTTATTTTTTCAGAATAATTTGAAGAAATTGTCATGAACAAGATAAAAAATTTTTTTTCACATATTGATAAACCTCTTACAGTTAATAAGATATTGCAGGTCCCATTGGCTAGGGAGCTTCACTTGGTGGGTCCTAATCAACAGGCCTTTCTTTATTGAAGCCCTCACTTGTCTGTGAGATGAGTGGTCATATAAAAATGATTAAATAAATCAATGTGTAAGGATACACTAATGTATATTTTCAGTTTTACTCAAATATATTTGGCAAAAAATACTTTACATTAACTTTGTTTATATATAGGTATCCAGCTCACATTGAAGAAATTGATTATGAAGAAGGAAAGGTGCTTATCCATTTTAAACGTTGGAATCACCGCTACGATGAATGGTTTTGCTGGGACAGTCCTTATTTACGTCCTTTAGAAAAAATACAATTAAGGAAAGAAGGATTGCATGAGGAAGAAGGATCTTCAGTAAGTAAAAACATTGGTCTAGTAACAGAATTACATGTCCACATAAATTATATAATTTAGAAATTAGAGGAACTTAACACAATTACCAGTTTTCCTTCTTTTATTGAACAAATAAGATAAAAATGTACAGATAGTCCTCGGCTTATGATGACAGTGGAATCAGAATTTTTGTTGCTAAGCAATATAGTCTAAAGTGTGGCTGCATCACTTAGTACTGGTAATTCTACAGTACTGGTTACTGTCGTTAACTAAATTTGTTGCAGTTGTTGGGTGAGGCAGCTTCTTGCCAGCTTCCCACAACCAAAACAAATGGAAAGCCAGCAGGAATTTGCAAGTCCCAGATCAGCAAGCAGATAAGTGGCTGCTGCTATGTGAAATGGAATTTAAGGATTATGGGATGTGGGAAAGATGTGAGGAGATGTACGAGAGGCATCATGCATGTTGAGGATACGCAAGTGTGCAGATAGGTCAGAAAAGGGACCACTTAGATTAAAGAGGATGCATGGGGGTGAGGTATAGATTGGGAAGACTGGAAGTGCCTGAGGGGAGCCATGTGCATTCGGAAGGAGGTGCAGGGGTACTATGTAGGTGAAGGAGGTTGCATGAGAAGTATGTGGGTGGGGAGGGTAGATGAAGTGTGAAAGGTGCTAGTTAGGGTGTGTGATGTGTGTGAGAAGTGCCACATGGGGAGGAGTTGTGCAAGTGACTGGCATGAGCTCAAAGAGACTGGGGTGGGTGCATCGGTGTGGAAAACTTAGCACATCCACTCGCAACCTTCCCTGCCGACTTTCCCATTGACATTTTGGGAAAGCCAGCAGGGAAAATTTCAAATGACAAATGATTGCTGGGGGCTTGGTAAACAGTTCCCAGACTGCAATCATGTGACTGCAGGGATGCTGCAGCTGCATAATTTTGGGGACCTGTCATAAGTCTCTTTATTCAGCACAGTTCTAAATGAACAGTCACTGAACAAATAGTTATAAGTCGAGGACTACCTGCAAAGGAAAATAAACCAGAATAAAATGAAAAGTTGTTAACTTTAAACAGATTTATTTTGCTTAATTATAACTATAGATAGTGTAATAAAGAATGATAACGAATGATAACTTGCTTTCTATTAATAAGGATAGTTTCTAATGAAAAGCTGATGAATAAAATGTATTGACTTTCATTTAGGGCTTCCTTCATCACAGAACATTTTGCTGCTCAAAGTTAATTTTTTGTAAAACTGTATAGATAATTACTCTGATAAAATTTTATTTGGATTAGCCTCTGGTTAACTGAAAAGAGCGTAGCACTATTCAGTTTTAAAATATTTGTGCCATTTCATAGCAGTTCATTAATTTTGATTATTTTAATTATATGAAACACAATCTTTGTTATGAGATGCTATTATGGTATGATGGCGATTTTCCTAATAAGCTGAATAACATGTTTATAGTGCAATAGAAAGTAATTAATGATATTTGTTGTTGGCAATATTAGTTTGTAACAATAGACTTTTTTTTAAAATTACAATGCAGTAGCATATTTTTATACAACTTAGAATGATAAATGCTTCCTGTTTTTCTAGGAATTTCACATAAATGATCAGGTGTTAGCTTGCTGGTCTGATTGTCGTTTTTATCCAGCAAAGGTTACCTCTGTTAACAAAGATGGTAAGACATAATATGTAACTTTTTAATATCTGGAAGTATTCTCCATTACAGCATTCAGGAGTACCACAGAAAACAGTATCATTCTGTTTCATATATTGTTCCTGATTTTTATGAGCATAAAATATTTGTTGTATTGTTTCTTTGAGATATATCTCAATGATGATTTTAGGGAGATTAACTTCTTAAGTTACTGGCATAGAGTCTAAGAAAGCTTCTGACCCACATGTGGGTCATTTTTGGAGATCATCTTTAGCTCTTTAGAGCAGGGCTTTTCAACCGGTGGTACGCGTACCACCTGTGGTACTTTAGGACCTGGCAGCTGGTTCGCAACCCCTAGCCAAGTGTAGTGGGGGAGGGAACGAGCTAAAGCGGTGCCGTGCAGACCTGAAGGAGAACAGCTGGAGTTTCAGGGCTCGGCAGAAGCCCCAGGATCTACGTGCACAGCTGCTTTCTGGTTGGGACTTCTGGCGCACCCAGAAGACAAAGGAGAAGGAGAAGATATAAAAGGAGCAGGAGATAATGAACGAGTGGCCTTTGCGAGCGAAGTGTGAGTGAGTGAGAGCAAGAGAAAAGCTTTTGCGAGCAAAGTGTGAGTGAATGAGAGAGCGAGAGAAAAGCTTTTGCGAGCAAAGTGAGTGAGAGAAGAGAGAAGTTTTTGTGAGCAAAGGGTAAGAGAAAAAGGGAGAAGGGGAAAAGAAAATGCATTGACTTCTGACTTCCACTGTTGCAATAGGAAGGAAGCATTAACATTTGAACCTCAACTTTTTACTTTTCCATAATATTATAAACTAGCCATTTCTATAACAACAAATGAATCTAACCAGTAAAGCCCAAAATCCACGCCCCTTTTTTTTAGTCATCAAGTTTTTGACATCTTATTAAGCACTGGTGGTACTTGAATATTGTCATGTCCTAAAAATGGTACAATCTGTGAAAAGGATTAAAAGCCCTGCTTTAGAGGTTGTCTGTTATGAATCAGAGCAGAGAATCATAGGCATCAGGTGGCAAAAAGAAGGGCAGGTGGAGAGGTGTATGTGATAATTGTGCAAATGCAATAGTTTACATGTTTGTGTTAGAGATTTGGAACAAAGATGTAATATAGGTAGTCCTTGACTTACAACCATTCATTTAGTGACCATTCAAAGTTACAATGGCATCAAAAAAAGTGACTTATGACCGTTTTTCACACAAGTGTTGTAGCATCTTCAGGGTCACATGATCAAATTTTAGGCACTTGGCAGCTGACATTTATAACAGTTGAACTGTTCCAGGATCATGTGATCCCCACATGATCATGTGTAACCTACCCCATCATGTGTAACTTACCCAGCTGGCTTCCAACAAGTAAAGTCTATGGCGGAAGCTGGATTCACATAATGACCATGTGATTCATTTAACAACTGCAGTGATTTGCAGTTCTGACAAAGGGTTAAGAAAGGACTCCCTGTGGATTTTACTCTGCTAGTTGCTGCTTACTATAGGAGTGGTGTTCATGTAGCCAGCATGATGTCATGGAGCACTGTTACCTTCCCACTGAAATGGTACCTATATATCTACTTTGCATGCTTTCAAACTGATAGGTTGGCAGGAGCTAGAATTAAGACAGGAGCTCACTCTGTCGCTCACCTCTCAGGTCTTGAACCTAGGCTGCCGGCTTTCCAGTTACCAAGCCCAGTGTCTTAACCACTGAGCCATCTCACTGCCTAACTGTGGCAAAAAAATAATAATGGTAAAATGGGACAAAACTCACTTAATAACTGCCTTGCTTAGCAATGGGAATTTTGGGCTCAATTATGGTCATAAGATGAGGTCTACCTGTAATAATGACATTTCCTTGATTACATTGTAACATATGGCTTCATTGTTATCATTATGCTTTATTACCAGCATTATTTATGAAAACTATAAGGTGCATGGGAGGTAATAACAAGAAAGGGTTTTAAAATATAGTAGAAACTGGGATTTTTCATGCATTAGAACAATTGTACTTTTGAAAGAAACTAAATGCAAAACGTAATTGCAGAATTTTTCATATTTATTAAATAACCACAACAAAACAAGTGTTTATTCAGTATTTGCTTTTAACTTGCTAGCCACATTCCTTAGCAGAACAGGCATGATATTTACAGCTGGAGGTGCCAAGCTCTCCTTTTGTTTCAAGGATCACAGCCATTTATAATGCTAAATTGCAGAGTGACTAAACTTTTTTCTTTCTTTCCTGAATATTATTGTGTAACATGCTTCTTTTCCTGATAAAACGATGGATTTCCCATTTATCTTTGACCACCATCAGTGACATTTTTTATAATAATAATAATAGTAGTAGTAGTAGTAGTAGTAGTAGTAGTAGTAGTAGTAGTAGTAGTAGTAGTAGTAATAAAAAGTTGGAAGGGACCTTGGAGGTCATCGAGTCCAACCCTCTGCTCAGGCAGGAAACCCTACACCATTTCGGACAAATGGCTGTCCAGTCTCTTCTTAAAAACTTCCAGTGTTGGAGCATTCACCGCTTCTGGAGGCAGGTTGTTCCACTGGTTAATTGTTCTAACTGTCAGGAAGTTTCTCCTTAGTTCTACATTGCTTCTCTCCTTGATCAGTTTCCATCCGTTGCTTCTTGTCCTGCCTTCAGGCGCCTTGGAGAATAGCTTGACTCCCTCTTCTTTGTGGCAGCCCCTGAGATATTGGAACATTGCTACCATGTCCCCCCTCGTCCTTCTCGTCGCTAAACTTTTAAAAAAAATTAAAAATTTGTTTAACTTTGTTAAACAAATTTGCATTTGGTAGATAGGTCCTGAGCTGCTTCCTCCTCTTTGTCTTTGACAGTTACCCCAGGGTTGCACTCTTCTGCTTTGTGGACTTGTGGCCACACTTAACAGGCCTTCAGCTCAGTCCAACTCAGTTTGCCACCCTACCTTATTCTTTATTAAAACCATAGATCTTTATCAGCCAGAGCTGTTTAAGTTCATATTAGTTCCCAGCCATTACCTCCATTCTCAGAATTCTTCCTAGAGTTCCTCTCATACTTTTAGGTTACCCCTAAGGACAACCCAGAATCTATGGCCTCTTCCCCTCTCCCATTTGGAAAGATGCCCTAAGACAGGGGTGTCAAACTGCTGGCCCGCAGGCCGGTTTCATCATACCAAAGCCGCACCCACCCCATTGTCAGCAATGCAAAAGGAATCACGATACGTCGCAACACATCATGTGATGTGGCGAGTTTGACACTAAGAGAAAGTAAAAAATGTTATACTTCCAGCTTCTTAATATGCACATCAGTTGTTTGGGGTTTTGCGTGTACATGAGAGCAACAAGTGGAAAGCCATGACTGAATGGAGGCTGTCACACTATTTTTTTTTCTTTTAAATTTCAGGAACTTACACTGTGAAATTTTATGATGGTGTGATTCAGACAGTCAAAAATATACACGTCAAAGCTTTTTCCAAAGATCAGGTAGGAAACATATTTTGAAATTTTATGTATGTCAAATTGATCTTATATGTAGACAATGCTACAAAGCTGATTTGCAGTTTAAGGTATGTACTACATTTGCATGTCATGCAACATCATTGTGAATATAAAATGCATATCTAGCAAATCTAGGTTTACACATTAATTCTCTACTTGCATAATAGGAAATATATATTTTTTGCTTCTATTTAATCAGGGTTTTAGCATGTTGTCCATATATGAGAAAAAAATAACCGTTTTAAAATTTAAAAAATCATACCTTGAAGTAAATCTGTCTTTAATAACATATGAAGCTGTGATTGTTTGAATCAGCTTGTTACAATGTAACATCACTAACCATACACATATTTATAAAGCGCAGTAATTTCATTTATTACTGTGTTGTTAAAACAAATGAAACCATGTGATTAAAGAACATGTCTAAATCCACAGTTTATTTAATATGTTTTTTTGTTCTTGTCAACATGAGAAACTATTGAAAAAGGGAAACAAAAGCTTCCAAAAGTATCTAGGACATGAACATAAGATGAATTTTAATTATTTCCATATATGTATATTGCACTAGAAACATAGTTTTAGCATGATGTGCAAACATAGTCACAGAATCCAAGTTTTCTATCAATCTTAATTTTGATTCATATATTTCTAGTGTGTGACGTGTAACATTTTAAAAAGAAGGTATTTGCTTTTTAAAACTTGATTGCCATCTGTTTCTTCTGTCAGGTATATTTCTTTTGTAGAATGTAACAGTTTTCAGTATTGATCATTGATGCTCTAGCATTAAATGATTTTGTTTTTCTAGCTTTTTCCTTAGTTTAACTGTATATCTAATCTCCCTCCCACCCTATAAATAAATTAATTTGTAATAAAAAATAAATCACCAACTTCTTTGTTTTTAGTCTGTTGTGAATAATTCAAAACCTAAGGAGAGATGTAATGAAATTCCTTCATCTCCTGAAAGATGGGAAAAATTTAAAGAGCAAAGGAAAACAGCTGAAAATAATAAGAAAGACAAGGATGAAAAGCTATTAAAGATTGAACGAAGGTCTAAAACTGATAAAGAAGGAAAACTAATTGGTTCTTCAGATAAAAATAAAGTTTCTGAAAAAGCCCTATCTAAAGATGGGAAAGAAGACAAGGAGAATATATCTGAAAATGATAGAGAATTCTCAATAGATACCCAGATTGAAAAAAAACCAGAAAATGATAGTGTGAAGGCCCCATCAGAAAACATCAAAGAAACTAAGCGACGACGTGGTAGACCACCTGTGGTGCCTCCAGCAGGTCAGTCAAAACTAAGTGTTGGGCAAAGGTATACAACATAAGGTCCCAGGGTCATATGCAGCTTCTTCAAAAAGTGTGAAGAAACTATATTTTTTTCATATGCTAGAAAGAGAAAATTGTTAAATATATGGGAACTAATCATATTCCCTATGCACACTGGCATGAATTAGCTTTTATTGAAATGAAATAACATTTTCATTTGATTCTGGGTTTCTAATTTTATTAACCTTGAGCCTACCTACTTCTGGGAATGCAGCTCATAGTACATTAGTTAGTCTGAAACTAATATTCAGTGCTCCATATTTGCACACAATCATAGAAACTGGCTGTCGTTCTGTGTTAAAAATGTTAAAGTGTTACAGACTATGATTATTCCATTTGTTTTAAATACATACATAATGTATTTGGATAGGACTAGTTTGTTGGAATCAGGACTACAATAGCAATCTCGTTAAAAGTATTGGATAGTTTATAAGGAACTGAAGACAGTGATGACATGGAGATTTCCTTTTGACTTATTATAATTACAGAATATAATGAATAATTTAAACTAAAAAAACTACAAGATTCAAATCCTAAATCCTGCAAAAGCCTTATATAAAATTACTTTCTCTTACAAGAATGAACTCTTTCATATGTATTGAAATATTTGTATTCTATTTATATATTTAGAACAAGGTTCTCAAACACTGCAGCCTATAACTTTAGAACTGAGAAGACGAAAAATTCCTAAAGGAGGAGAAGTCCCTTCAAAACGTCCCCGGCTTCAGAAGAATATGTGTGAGTCAAGCCTGTTTATTTAACTAGAATAGAAAATGTTAGAAAAACAAGTATAGTATAACTAGATTTCATTTAGGAATTTAGTGGGGCAGTATTTTTAAATAAGTATGTATACATAAATGTCACGGTAGGTGCCAATATTATCCAACCTTGGTTCACCTTGAAAGAGCTAGAAAAGGTAGATGCGAAACTGCCAGGAAATACTGAAGATTAGTTTGGAACATCACATACACAAAAAGCACTACCACAGAACAATGGGAAATCACTTCCATGTAGTTATGAGAAATTTATATAGAGCTATCTATGGTAAAAACTATCTATGTAGACACCAGATGTCAAGCTTAACTCAAGACAGAAAGTACCTTTATCAGATAACTGGTTTTTATTTATTTTATGTATGTATAGCAATATATGTATGATACTAGTGTACCAATTGTTATTTAACAATTATTTTTAGCACAAGAGAAGTTGAAAAGTGCTCCAGACAGTGAAAAAGATTCCATAAAGAGACAATCAAGACATTCTATTACCAGTAGCCATGACACTTTAGATAATAGCATTACCACACGAGTTCGGGATGAAATTGGGCCTTTTGAAGAAACTACTACAAAAGAAATTAGTGAAGGTAAAAAGCTTCTTTTATATGTGTTGTCAGTAACTTTTGGGATCAAAGCCCAGTTCTAATGTGGAACCATGTGGCAGTTTGCCCAGAACCATTTTTTATCTTTTTTAAAGATCTTAAAGAGGTGTTTTGCTCCTCCTTGTAGATCCTAGCTATCACCTAGGAATTGTGTCCAGTGACCTAAAAGTAATTTTATATTATTTTTCAAGAAGTGGAAGGGAAGGATTCAAGATAGTTGCCAAAAGTACTTAATGTCAAGAAAAATAGTTTTTAAAAATGAAACTTAGGACAATATTAATATTAGTCTTCCAAAGAGCTTTTTCACTTGCAGCTGCTAAGTGTAATGATGGTTAAGGTATTAGATTTGGATTGGGAGACATAAATTCAAGTAATTTCTTGACCACATAGCTTTCTAAATTTATTTATTTCACCAATAAATTAATTCTGGGTGGCAAACACAGTTAAAAATATCAATATAACAACAAAATATGTAACCAACATGAAAGCAAAATAGAATTACAATCAAGGAAAAGATCCATTATAAATTAATAATACTTTGCAAGGTTAACTCATCCTGCCTGGGAGAAGAGCCTGATTTATAGGGCTTCCTGAAATAATAGTAGGATCATGGTCAGTTTAACTCTGCTTGCCCCACAAAGTACAATTTAAAAGCTGTTCAAAACACTTTAAACGTTTTTTAATACAGATTGTAGCACTGAAAAGAGTTGATACCTGATAGAATGAGGGCTATGGGAGGGAAAATGTAAATGTTTGAGGAAAACATTTTGAAACTAAAGTACTTTGAGGATAAAAATTCTCTTCATGCTAGCTTGGATTTTATTGTTTCTTAGTTTGAAACAATTCTATTTCTGAAATTCTAATTTTAAAACTGCACACTCAGTGCAAACATGTAATTAAGATACATTTTTACAGTTGCTCAAAAATTCCTTCCATAACATGGTGGACTCCTCTAGATTAAGCTTATTCTTCTCTTTTATCTTTTAGATCTCTTAGAGGCTTGTGCTAAATCTGACCAAAAGATTACTGAAGAGTCATCTCCACCTTCAGAAGTATCTCAGGCTTCAATAAATGATAGCAGATTAAAGGAAGAGAACGTAGCAGAGTCTTCCTCCTCATCCCATTTGCAAGAGACTTCTGTCACATCTGTTACAGGTTAATTTGAGGGGGGTGGTCTTTGAGGAGAAAGTACACCCTGAATTTTGATGGGGCTAGGGTGGTGTAATGCCAGTCTCTTATCCTGCATGCTTTTAATATCTGTTGCATCTTATAATTAAAATGTAGGATTTTAAAACTCTTAATATATGTTGTTTTTGTAGTAAGCTGTTCTTCTAAGAGAATTGATGGTTTTACTGCTTCCAAAGCTGCAATTGAACATGAGCCTAAATTTAGATGCAAGTTCTTAGACTGTTCCAAATCTTTTCGAAAAGCTAAACTGCTACATTATCATATGAAGTATTTCCATGGAATTGAAAAATCACCAGAACCACAGCAGAATCCTGCAACAAGAAATATCCAAACAAGAGGTTCCTTGGCTTCTGAAAAGGCTAGTCAGGAAGGTTGTAACAGAAGGCGGACCACATCTGGTTGCTTATGTAAGTGGTATTTTTTTCTTTTAAAAAAAATACGTTTAATTACTTAGAATCAGATCACTTGGGTTGCTTTAAAGGCCAGTGTTTTTAAAATTCTTCCTGCTTTTCTTCAATTTAGTACTTAAAACAACACAAGCTATCAATTTTACATAATTAATGTGTTATGCAAAAATATTAACATATATGAAATGAGGATGATCACTGTTTATTTTTGAAATTATTTGATGTTTCATCATATCTAAAGTATACCTGAGTAAAAAACCTAATGCTTCTAAACCAGCAGTCCCCAACCTTTGCAGCTTGGCAGCCTGGCTTTGGTGGGGAGGAGAGGGAAACCAGGCTGTGTAAGCAGTGGGCTGGCACACGCATGCACACAGCTCCACTAACACGAGAGAAGAGAAGCCTTTGGGCACAGTCTTGGCTCCTTCAGGCTTCTCCATGCCAAAAGTGTACTAAGAGACGGAAGGCCTGAAGCAGCGCAAGATCGCTCCCCCAAAGCCTTTTATCCATTTGCAAAAGCTTTTGGCATAGAGAAGAGAAATATTTGGGGACGCAGTCTTGTGCTTCAGACTCACCAAGGCTGCCCGATGCTTCAAAAGTGGATCAGGAATCCGATGCAGGCAGCCTTGGTGAGTCAGCAAAGCTGAGCATGGCATGCTCGTCCCACTCAGCCTCTGTTCTCACTGCTCCACTTTTGGAGAATCTAGAGCAGGCGGCTTGGCCTGGCTGGGGGGGAGGGGAGACTGGGCCACGAGAGCAGCGGGCTGGCATGCATGCACGTGCAGCTCCATTCACGCAAGAGAGAAGCCTTTGGGGCCCGGTTGCAAATAGGCCACAGCCTGGTCGTAGGCTGTGGCCCACAGGTTGAGGACCCAGGTTCTATCTAAACTATAAAGGATAAGACATAATGATGTATCTATTTTTTATAAAGCTGCTAAAGAAAAGGATAAAAACAAAGAAAAGAAACCCAGAAACTTTGGAAGATCAAAATCAAAGAAAAAGAAAAAGAAAAAAAAGAAAATAAAATCAGGTAATATATTAATGGAATATTTTTAACAGAAAATTGCTAATGGGAGGGGATGCCTTTTAATTTACTTAAGCAGTTTGTATCATTTGAGAGAGAATATATCTAAAACCTAACAGGTTAAAGCCAGTAAAAAGACATACCTACATGCAGTTGTCTTTCCATCAAAAAACTTCTTGAGAGCCATAGAAGTGTGAAGCAATTAATTATGGAAAAGAATCTGAAGATGTCTCCTGGTTTACCCAGTGGTCAAATTTTTCTTCTGTAAGTGGAGCTTGCCTCTTTAGTGCAGGAGTGGGCAATTAACAGCCTCCATATAGTTTTGATTTTGAAAGCATAATTCCCACTCTACCTCCCAAATGGGTTCAAGTGGGTTACCTTTGGGAAGATTAGAGGGCATAGTTATTCTCCATACCTGTGGTAACTGAAGGAGATTATTATTCATAATATTGAAAGTTGAACACAAATGTGGAAGGGTATAAAGCTTTTAAATACAGTTATTTACAGTAGTTGTCATCACCTGCTCGTTAGAGATGTAAGCATGAAACACTAGATATAGTCTGCCTATTTTACAGCTGTTTTTGGCAGTATGTGGGTTATGTATTATGTGATTAATGGACTGAGATAAAACTCCGTCTCTCTCTCCCATGTGCATCTTGTTTCCTTCCTTCCCATCTTTCTTAATTTTAAGTCAGTTTTAATGTTAATATTTATTTTAATGTTCTATCTTGTTACTTTTACTTGGTTGTAAGACACTTAAGAGTCTCCTCTAGGCAAAATGGGCAGAATATAAATTTAATAATAAATAAAAATGTATTGTTTAAATCAATAAATCTTAATATTAGAGTTTCTGTGCATTCATTTTCTGTAATATGAAGTTCTGGATAATAACACTTAACTAAATTTTCCAGAACATTCAGGAAGTGAAGAAAATGTTGACTTTTCCCAAGATGTTTCTCCTCCAAGGTCTGCCATTACAACAAGATATAATTCAACAGATCGATCTTGTGTGCATTTGAGTACGCAAATACATAGTTCTGATTCTGGGCATCGTAAACAGAAATTAAAAATCACTGGTAAGACTACTTTTGCATTTTCTTTGATGGTTTTAATTAAATTAAAAATAATTCTAAATATTAATGATAATTGGGAATTATTTTCACAGGCTTGCTGTTTATGATTGAGTGTTGATAGCTTTTAAATCATGACATTTGAATTGCAGATTAGTATATCTCAGATATCTAATACATATATCTTTTTTGTAGTTATTACTATTCTTTTGCGTAATTTTGAATTATTTAAATCAGGGATATGCAAATTTATTAAGCTTGAAGGCTGCACTTAAGAAAAAAGATACATAAAAAGTGACAAGGCATTGCCTGTTATTCAGCAACAGGCATTCCTTGCAAAACTTAAGGACGTAAGAATAGCCCTGCTGTCTCAGACCAAGGCCCATCTTAGCCTGGCAGTTTGTTTCTCACAATGGCTAATTGATGCTTTTTTGCTGTTCACAAACAGGAGATGAAGACATGCCCTTCCCACCATTGTTCTCTTGCAGTTCATGTTTGGAGGGTTGTTGCCTTTAACCCAAAGTAAACTGTTTTCATGACATAAACATTAAGCTCTGCCTGCCCAGTTTTGCACAGGGAGCATTGTAAGAATATTTGGTTGACAGTCCTAGACTTTAGCTTGCTACCTAGTAGCCTAAATTTGACACCCAGGACTTCCTAGCTATATTTCTCAACATTACTGCAGCCAGAGTGGATCATGACTGCTGTTTTTCCCCCAGAAATTAATTTAGATGGTCCATGGCATCTACAGCCTTCACACTTGGCAGGTGTATCCCTACTTTGTACCCCCAACACAAACTCACCTCTTATAATTTTTTTATATACATATTTTATTAATTTTCTAATTTTACAATCATGAGTACTTAATAAACAACATGTTGTTTGGGTCCATTGATAATTCAATGGTACATATTAACTTTCTCAGTCTAGTTCTAATACTATACCATCCAGTGCTTCCTTGATCCTCTCTTCTGGTGGTATGCATTTTTCCACCCTGGGCAAATACAATTCTTGTTACTGTTAATACATATACAATTAAATATAGACATCTTCATTACATTTTTCTGGTATTATACATAATGTCGATAGTGTCAGTTTATAATATCTTTTCTAGCCAGAACATATCTCAATTGCATTTGCACTTAAAATCCATTTGTTCAATCAATATCTTTTTCCCCACTTTTTTTACAATTTTAATTTCCCATCAATGTTCAAAATATCTCTATCACTTATAATTTTCTCATAATAAATTATATTTGGGTAACCAAAAGCTTTCCTTATTCAAACCTTTTAAAATTTTCATATTTCCCATCTCATAACAAAGTATAATATTCTAGTTACAAATCCTATCCTAATTATAATAATACTTTTATTTCTAACAGTTATCTATTTTCTTAACCATATTCAAACATCTGTTTAATAGTATAATAGCCCATCTAATAGGTCAAAACCTCTGTTTTCTTCAGTCTTACTCTAGCTTTCTGCCTTTGCCAAGTAACTTTCCAAGTCAGTGTATTTGAATCATCGAGTAATTCTTCCTCTGTTTTTGTATATATTGTTTGGAATGAGGAAGAGAATTTGATTGAAGTATTTTTGGAAAAACGCTCAACTCATTCATATTCATTAAACAGTCTCCATCCTTCTCCTTCAGTTTTTCTTTTCTTGTCACCTCTTATAATTCCAATGAGTCAATAACCTGCAGCCAAAACCCCTGTATGCTCCCTAAAAGAAATACTACTATAAAAGAATGGGAATTTACCATCTGAGTGTTGAATCTTCCTACAAGAGTACACCCTTCATCTTTGAAATAATATGATCCTCCAAATCTCACATATGTGCCTAGAGCAAGGAATGTATCATTGAAATGTGTTGAAACTTATCACATCCTTGAAGATGTCACCTATATACTTTACTGGTTTTAAGCATGTTGACTCAGCTACTTCGTTTTCAAAGGAACTGGTAATCCTTGAGAGCTAGGAGTTCATTGTACTGAGAACAAACTCACATTATATCCCAAAAGCAGCTGGTACTGTGTTTTAGCCAAACTCATTTTATACCAAAAAGCACTGTGAAATAAGCTGAAAATTATGCTCTCCCATGCTATCTTTGTATTCCAATGTAGTTATGAATTCTAATTTCTATTAATGAAATACATGGGCTAAGGTCTGCATAAAATTCTTAAATCTACTGCAGTGCATGGGAATTAATGGAACTCCGATTAAAATGTACCAAGATAATGTTAGCAGATAACTGTTCATGTTTTACCTAATGTAACAGCTTTTGTAAAATGGTAAAATATCTAATGTAACAAAACTACATTGTGAAGTAGTTTACGCTCTTGTGTAAGACTACTCAATAGAAGTAGGGTTCTTCCTCCTCCTTCCGACTGTTACTGTTATTCCTCTCTACCAAACGTGACTATGTGACCTCTAGATTGGATTGCTGCACATTGCATGGGGCTGTCCATGAAGATAATTTGGAAACTGCAGCTGGTGCAAAATTGCAGGCAGCTAGTGGTGTCTATTTTTAGGGACTTGTGAAACCACTGCATTGCAGAATGCATCAGCTCCCAGTGTGCTTCTGGATTCAAGCAGCCGTGGTAGTGCAGTGATTACAATGCAATTTTGCAGGCTAACTCTTCCACAGCCAGGAGTTCGATCCTGACGTGTTCAAGGTTGATTCATCCTTCCGAGGTTGGTAAAATAAGGACTCAAATTGTTGGGTGCAATATGCTGACATTTGTAAACTGCTCATAGAGTGCTGTAAAGCACTATGGACTGGTATATAAGTCTAAATTCTATTACTATTATTAATTAAAGCTGCTGCTGGCCACTTTTAAAGTCCTTTATGGTTTAAGGCCAAATTATTTAGGGACTCTTCAGTTGTTGACTGGCAGGTCCAGGAGACCCTTTTCTATCGTGGAATATAATGTTCCCTGCAATTAGATTGGCAGTGTCGCTGTTGGCCTTACTAAGGCCCCAAATGTGGTTGTGTGCCCGAGCTTGGGCCCCTGGGTGAGGGCAGAGCTCTTTTCTCAGCCTTTTGGCTAAGATCAAATATAGTATCTATGCTGTGGAGTTTATATTTTTGTATATGTTTTAATTATTTTTAATATTGTTAGCCATTCAGAGTCACATATGTGAGAGGAATAGCCATATAAATCCACTAAATAAATAAATACATGTTTATATTGGATTCCTTTGCTGAAATGAATGGTTCTTTATCTGTGATTGTGTTGCACCAATGTCTTTCTGTCGTTAATTATCAATTCATCAGCTCTCCACATGTATGCAAATCAAAATGTATGAAAATATTGCTAATACCTATTGAGTAGCAGGCAATAATTTATAAACCATCCACAATCTGTTGGATTAATTCAAATTCAATGTTTGCACACAGAAGATGATACGCTGAGTGAATCATCTGCAGAAAGTTTGTTTTGGAGTGATGATGACTGCAGTAGAGATATTGATGTAACAACCAATCCTGATGAAGATCTTGAAGATGATGATAATGACTTTGAAATCGTTCGCTGCATTTGTGAAGTAGAGGAAGAAAATGACTTTATGATTCAGGTACATTGTAGAAGATGAGAGTATAATAAAAGAAATTGCCAGTCCCCAAAGAAATAGGAATCATAGGATTATTGCAACTTCATCCTGGATAACTAATTGGGAAGACTTCTTAATAAGTACAGTTTTGTAATGGCTAGACAGAATGAAGTTGAGAGACAAGAGGAAAAGCTGTTACAGGTAGTCCTTGACTTATGACAACAATTGAGCCCAATTTTTTTTTGCTAAGCGAGATAGTTGTTAAATGAATGTTATGAACTTTCTTGCTCAGTTGTTAAGTGAATCACTGCAGTAGTTAAGTTAGTAACACCATTATTATTTGAATCTGGCTTGCCCATTGACTTTGCTTGTCAGAAGGTGATCATATGACCCCGGGACACTGCAACCGTCTCATAACTATGAGTGAGTTGCCAAGTGTCTGAATTTTGATCACGTGACCATGGGGATGCTGCAACAGTCGTGTGAAAAATAGTCATAAGTCATTTTTTTTCAGTGCCGTTGTAACTTTGAATGGTCAAATGAACTGTTGTAAATTGAGGATTACCTGTATTAAAGCAATGGTTTGAGTTGGAACTGTAACCTGAGAAAATGTTCCTCACAGGGTTCTCAGGACTATAAAGGGAAAGAAGGGGGAAACACATTCAGACTTGGAAGATTCTGCTAGTGTAACTATTTAATAAAAAGAGTATTGGCCTTCATGCTTTTGGATTCCTAGTCTTGTCTACCATGAAGAGCTAATAGATTTTTTCCCCTCAAACTTACTGTTTTCTTACTTGTTCTAGATATTTACTTTCTAGATATTTACTTTACTTTTTCATGGACAAATGCTAAAAAGTTCAGGTCAACTTATTTGTATTATTTCTGTCCCCCTATGTTCCTTATGTTTCTATTTATCAATAAGGACTGTACTACTTTCCTACAAAAAAAAAGAAGGGAACTGGTCACCCAGCAAGCTGAAGAAATAATCAAAATTATCACAATTTTAAAACAGTAATGATTTACAAGATTTAAATTTGTTTTCCAACTCAGATTTTCCCAAGTTGAAGAAGCAGTCAAGCCCTTTACTGTCTACAGCCTAAATGTACCTGTTTGTTTTGCTTCAGAGATGGTAACAATAGGATGGAATATGGTGCAGATATACCCAGAATGACCATACCTTGACTTGCCCCAATGTTATAGAAAGAGTTTGAAACAGTCTAAATCTCTTGCTTAGCTTATGAAACAACCAGATAGTTGTGCTTATCTGTTGAATCTAATTCTATCTAATATTTAACAGTGTGAAGAATGTCTCTGTTGGCAGCATGGAGTTTGTATGGGTTTATTAGAAGAAAATGTACCTGAGAAATATACGTGTTATGTTTGTCAAGATCCTCCAGGTACAAAGATTTCTAAAGTTGCAGAGTCTTCTAATAGTATGTAATAATTATATTATTTTATGTATTATTGTACTGCTTTTTGATTATTTGTCAGCATACCTTAATTTTTCAAATATTTGATAGCAAATTGTTTAATTTACTGTAATAGCCATTATAGTGAATATGCTAAACTGCTAATATATTAAATAATTTTTGAAATTTACTGATTTTGAGTCTACATAGCATTAATATTTTTCTTTTAAGTTGAAAAAGTGAATTTTCTTGTTTAATTAGTAAAAATTGAATTTAGACAGCTGCCAAGTCCCCTATTACAGTCCTGGCAAAGAGGAAACTGCTACTATGGGCTCATCCTTGTTAAATTTTTAATATTTCTGCATAAAAGTGATCTAAAATGTGATCTGTTCTCCATACATTTTCTTCAATAATTCAATATAGTTTTTTGACTCATTGATGTAAGATTCTCTTTAACTAGTTTTGGACTTGTATGAAGAACAGATCAATATTTATGCAAAAATATTGAAAATTCAAAAGTCTTCACAAATTTTTACACACCACTGTATAGTAGTATAAAAAGAAACTCTATTTTAAAGGATTTGTGTATTATTCCTAATGTTTTCCTGTTTGTGCCTGAAACTTGATTAAAAGTATCTTCAGTTCTCTAAGTTAGAAATGACAGAATTAGGAATCATGGTCTGGGAGAGAAGGAATAATAGCATTTATGTTATTGTGCTTTTTTTAATTAAAATTTTAAACTCATAATTTTACTTTTTTTACTAATTTACTCAAAAGATTATTATTAAAATGTAGTTTGTTGTAGCTTTTATTATTATTGAAAGTTTTTTCAGATTTGGAGGTTGAATTTCTATGCCAAATCAATATGCCAAATTTTTGCTGTTTATTTTAAAAGTGAAAATAGTGGCAGATTAGAATTTGGCTAATAATGAGCATTTACTTGCTTTTATTATTTTTAATTTACTTCCCCGTTGTTGCTTTAGGCAAGCGATCCAGTTTGAAGTATTGGTATGAAAAGGAATGGTTATGCAAAGGCCACATGCATGGTTTAGCATTTTTGGGAGAAAACTATTCCCATCAAAATGCTAAGAAAATAGTAGCTACGCACCAGCTTCTTGGCGATGTACAAAAAGTGATAGAAGTGCTACATGGACTTCAGTTGAAGATGAGCATCTTGCAGTAAGCTATATTTGGATGTATTTGCTTAAATTATAGTGATACAATTCAAAGAATTAAATTTAATTGAATTTCATAAAGCTATTGTATATCCTAACATTTAAATATTGGTATGCTTATTAAGTTGGTTCAGGATAATATTAAACCATTTTTACAGCACTTCCCCTCTTATGGTCCAACTTGACCTTGAATACCTTTTGTTTTCATTTAGCATATCAGTAGAAAAATACACCATGTGTACCCAAACCCAAATAGTTGGAACAAGCTAGCTTCAGGCCATAAGTAGAATCAGCAATAGTTCTGATTAACCAAACTTTAGATGGATAATGATTTGTTGTTATATCGAGTAATACTGATAAGAAATAGCAAGCTAGTACAGTTCTCCAGTACGGGAGATGGAGAATTCACATGTGGGTTTTCATTGGATGCCTGCTCTTGAGACCAAGTAGTCAAACTAGACACGCCCCCTCTTGCTGATCCAGTCTTTAACTTGGTCTCAGCTCTTGACGACGTGTCTGGGTTGGCTCTCAGTTAATAGCAGGTTAGAAAGCCTTGGTGAATTCTCCTTTTCCCTTA